GGGGGGGGGCAGGAAACCTATTTATGGTTGACACCATGGTGCCCGGCCCGGCCCCTGTTCCATATTTCATTCGAGAGGGGGGGGGGGTGCACCGGCGGCTCTACGGCTTCATCACGGGGACCGTGATGTTTTTATTTCATCTTCTCGGCTGACTACTGGCCTACTGGCTCGGGAGAGAGGAGAGGGATACTGGTGCGACTCCGGCGCGGATCTGCGATCTTTGCAGAGGAAGGGGGAGGGAAGAGGGGAGGAGGCCGGTGAGGAAGTGACAATCCGCCGTCCTTCACCACCACCAACCAACCCCGCAACGCGCGTCTTCCAAATAGTTTGGTGACTTGTACCAGGTGGCTGATTAACCCCACTCACTTCTGTAGTTATACTGTAATCGTACGCACGAGTGCGGGTTGCCTACTCGCTCCACCCGAAAGGCGCCGTGCACAGGGGCGATAGGCAAGCCCGCCCGCACTCCTGCGTGCGGTGCAGTATAACTACAGAAGTGAGCGGGGTTAATCAGCCACCTGGTACTTGGAGCTTCCCAATTACCGAGGACAGAACTACAACGCGGCGTATTGACGCGACCCGCTTCCTTCGCACCAGGATATTTGGCGTTTCTCCAGATCCGCGGCGCCGTACATCCGTTCCGCCGTGTACTCATGGGGGGGCTGGTGGAGGCCTCATGACCTCCTCTGATGGGACGGATGGAGGGAAGAAGAGGAGGCTGAAAAAGAGGGATGGCTGTAGAGCGTCCCGAGTGGCGTGTGTCTCTGTGTGTGAGTGTGGTGAGGCGTGTTTGTGTGAGTGAGTGTGTGTGTGTCGCCAGTAGCAAACGTCCGGTAACGGTCCGCGTGGCCTGGTGGCGGTTGGGCTCGGCGCGAGCCCAGGGGGGGCTTGGCTTGGCACGGGGCAAAAGGACACACATAGAGAGAGATGGGGCCGTGAATGGGCGGCGAGAGCCTATTCTCGGGATCGATTGGGTGTAAACTACAAAGTAAGCAAGTAACACCTCTCGCGAGGTTGCGAATAATGATGATAAAAGGCCCTTGGGTTATGATGGGGGTCGTTGGGATGGCCACCCGCCGGCCAAGCCGCACACCACACTCCACCCGGACCACGGCGGCACGGACGCGCGACGCGCGACTGATCCGGTGTCTTTGTAACCGGATGCGACTGCCCCTGCTGCGCCGCGGCCGCTGCACCGATCTCGACCCGTCATCGGACCTGCTGGACGTATTCATTTCCCGATCCCCCCTCCCCTGTCCCTTTCTCTTTGTTTCCGTTCTCGACAAGCGCCGCGCGAACAGAAGAGAGAAAGAGGGAAAGAGACCGCCGGCTTATTTGGCCGAGTTGTTTTTTTTCTGCCCTCGCCGCGATGCGATTTTACTATAACATTGCTGCCGGGTGCGTTGGGTTTGCTTCCGGTGAGAGCGCGGCGGCGCGCAGTGTAGCCAACGGAGAGCCACGGCGGCGGTGGCGAGCCGAGAGCCAGTCTCGTTCAGGACATGACGGATCCCTATTGTGTTTGGTCCGAGTCTGTGGGAGCCTAGCCGACACTCTTGCGCCTGGCGTGTGCCGCCCAGCACGTTCACTCTCAACACAAGTCGGCAGCGTGACGGGCCCAACCAACTACTCGTCGCCTGCCAGTCACTCCGTCACCTCAATGCCTCGGTACCGCCTGATAAGGAATATACAGCGGCGCACAAAAAAAATGTAATAAAAAGTAAGTCTGATTTACGTCGAGGAGCATTCGACGCGGATTCCCTGTCCTGTCCGTGCTGCAGCCGGGTGTTCTGCGGTTGTCTGTCATCTGCCGCCAGGGAGAGTGCGACATCCGTCACACACCGTTGTCACCCGCACACGCTCCACCGATAAATTTAC